GTTTAAACCGGTACGCCGAACCGTGTCCCTTGTCTCTTTTAGTCCATCAGAAACACGTCGTATTTTCCGGAAATTCACTTCTATTGTGTAAATACTGAGCGCCAGTGGAGAATAGCTCAACTAGCGTGAACCAGAATCAGCGCAATAAACGAAAATTTTGATCGACCGTGCACTTAAACATAACGGTTTCAAAAACAACTTTTTAGATCGGGTTCCAATGTCCAGTTCATTCTGTTTCTCTGAAATTTAAAAGTATTTATGCCAAAATCATTACATTCGGATTGTATGCATGACGGTAGTCAGTGGCAATAACTTTGCAAAATTTAGCTACCTTTAGCCACCAATGGCCACCGGTGACCATGTATTTCCCGGGTGGGCAAACTGAAAGAGGATGTTTTCGGGTCGCGTAATCTCGCCGTTAAGATGCAACGATCTTTTGCTGAATGGTCAGTATCAATTTCTGCTGACACATTGGACTGACTGCTGCGGAGCGGAAATCCCCTGCAAACGAAAGACAGACATCGGAATAACCAAGGCAAGAAGCAGACAAGTACGCCGCAGAAGCTAACTTCTCTGGCAGCACATCCATTAGCTCCCCACATTTAGGCGTTGCAGAAATAATGTTCAAGTGCTAATCCACAACTGCTTGTCTTTTTGTTGAGGATGTCGGTATCCCTAAAAACCGTTTATTTAATTTCGAGGTATCGCCATTTTAAATTTATAAATCATTGAATTCCTAAATTTTGCGCCTTCTTCGCCATGTTGCACCTCCATCCAAAAAACCGCACCTCTTTCCTATTGGCCAACAAGACTTTATGCGGCTAACTGATTAACTGCTCCCCAAGGTCACCCTATATATATGCTTGGGAGGAAGCAATTGTCAAGCCAATCTATAAAACTGGTGGCCGACTATTGCCCGGCTGCTAACAGTCTACTAGCCCTACCAGAGAACCGTGCAAGCTGATGGAATGAGTTTTGAAGCGAGTTATCTTAAACCACGTCAGTACCAACAACTTGATATCTTTAGTGCAACACGGATCCCCAAACCGTTCTCGCGTGAACCGTAAAGACGATTGACACATAACGGATGCCATATTTCTCGACTTCTCAGAAGCATTCGATCGAGTTTCATACGTCCCACTGCTCCAGAAGCTGGAGTCTTACGGGATTCGAGGGACAATTCTTAGCTGGATTAAGGCTTTCTTATCAGACAGAACATTCATAGTGGAAGTAAGTTCGATCTCCTCTTTGACGCTAGTTTCCATCGGAGCTCCTCAAGGCTCTGTTTGGGACCACTTCTATTTCTGATCTACGTCAGCAAATTTCCAGATGTTCTTTCAAGCCCTTGTCTACTTTTTGAGGATGACCATTTGAGCTTTTGTGGTTCAAATGCCACTGCCTTCCAAATGGATGTAGACGATGCAAAGCAGTGATTGTTCAACTGGCATTTTTCGCTGACTAAAAATGCGTCCATTTATCATTTGGAAGAACGCATTTGAATTCCATGGTTTGAATGAACCAGAAGTCATTACAGGGATAGATACCGTAAAAGGTTTAAGTAACTGGCTCCCTTGAATCACTTTTTTCTCATAAAAAAGTCGGCTCAAAAGGCACTCACCGTCCTTCGGATGATTCGGTGAACCTTCCCTCATATTATTCGCACGGACTTCCGGACACTTGATGGGGCCTGTGTCAAACCGCTTATTGAATACGCCAACCTGGTTGTTTCATAGGACCCTCATTGAGCGTGTTCATCAAGCTGCTACGAAAATAGTTGCCGGCCTTGAATCCGTTGATCATGAAATGCATCTCGCGATACTTGACCTGCATCCACTGTCGTTGTCTCCGAGGTGACCTAATACTTACACCCTGCTTGAACAAGATTCGGTCAAGAGGGTTTTCACCGATGACCAAAATAAAAAACAGTGAGGGCACGGTAAGGAGATTTCCAAGCTTATAGGGCACATTTTCTTAAGCAAAATGTTCCCTCATTTCAGGTTGTTGGCGTGTGAAATAACCTTTCGTCAAAGGTTGTTCTTTCTGCACCGGGTACCCAGTTCGAAGCAATTTTAGACACCTTTTTAGGTTGAGTCCTCGTGGTGGCAAAATTAATGCCTTGAGCAAAGAACATGATGGGAAGTGACCACTAGGAGGAAAAGATTCAACTGATAGTAGACACTGTGTTTGATTGGTTAACACACGTTGTGACGTACTTGGATTAAACCATTGTGGCAGCCTCTGATCAGGATGAACTCCATCGCTTAAAGTCAGTACTCGGTCGAATCCAGGAATACAACTGATGAACTCACAGCGAAAGACGGCAGAAGATACGGTTATGACTTCTATTTCTGTCGAGCCGGAAATTTGCATCGTTCTCGCTGCATCCATTCGAGCCCTTCAAGTTACCTCAAAAATGGTCCGTGAAGAAACGTGTTCCAACAAGTAATACACTATGACTGAACACTCCGTCGTTGTTAGTAATACGTGTAGAGGACATTCGCGGACATTCAACTAACTCCACTTAATTTGTCTAGTACAATCGTTTTCACTAGATCACGCAATTTGCCTACTCCGCAAGCACCAAAATCACGTGAAAAACCCTGCCCCGCCCGCAAACTTGACCAACAACAAGTCAGTTTCCGTCTTGCACGTACCAAAACGATGCTGTTTTTACGTTTACCAAACCCTGCTATACATAGAAGGACACCCACTCGCACGCGCATGGGCGCCGGCAGGAAGTCAACCAAACCCTACCATTCCGCACAAAATTGCGGAACACGTGTAGCAGCTGTACTGCGGAGAAAACACTTCCCCTTCGTGCGGAGCTTCGTTCAGAAACTCTCATGAGATAAGTCACCTTTTGACTTATTCCATTGTTCGCACTGTATTTATAATATACATGGTGAAACTAGTAGCTCTAACCCATTATCGACCATAGTAAAAGCATATTATCATTGAGCATATACTTTCTGAGTTATATTATGGCTGCCAATTATCATAATCTGTGCACTAATACACGCATCATTCAGAATTCGTTCCATCTGCGATTTCCTCTGTCTGAAGTCGATGGCTACCCTTTTTCGGTGAACATGTTATAATACCAGCCGAATCGCAAGCACCTAGTACAGGCGCGACCGATCGCCAAGGGTAGCAAATATGGGTGGTGCTTTACTCTTGCTACAGGTGGTTACGGAATAGTGCTATTACCACAAATTCTTGATTTCTCATGTCCAAAATTCCAAACGATGCCGACTGCTCGATCATACACAGCGCGAGGCATATTTCAACGTGGACGGGCTGGCCAACTCCTTTAGAATAGCTAGATTTAATATGATTCACAAGCGCTACCTTCTTTAAGCCGAAGCATCTCTGTGGTTTAACCGAAATCGTCGACCGATTCCCGGGGAACCGGAGACCATCTGGCCACTGCGTGAATGCCGGAGTCGCTGTTTCAACATACAACTCTACGTGAGATCGAAGTTCAACGATTAATTTACCTACAGTGATGTCGGGGATATTAGGGGCCGGGCAATTTGATTGCACACGTTTCATCACCAATCGAGGTGACATCATCAGTGCGTGACATTAGTGCGCTCCACAATAACGCACTGATGATGTCACCTCGATTGGTGATGGAACGTTTGCAATCAAATTGCCCAGCTCAGCGAACAAGCCAACGACCACCATCTACGCTTCCTGAGCTACCAACATTTTCCTCTATAGAAGACAACTGTTCTTGGACCTTAACGTCATGGTAATGCAAACAGTACTGAGCAATCCAATTTATTCTGCCTAACGGTTTGGCATGCGCTTCACATCTACAAAGTGCAAAGGACTATGCAAGACTAGGTGAGCTCGAACCCTAGTTGCACACTTGCGAATGAGCCGATTGAGGTAGTAGACAAGTTTTCTACCTGAGCAGCAGTATCAGTCTCGGTGGTCATGCGAAAGATGATAATTCTGTCCGCATTGCGAAGGCCAGCGAATCTTTTGCGAATCTGCATTACATATGTGTGGGCGTGAGACCAGCATATCCATCGAGTTTACAATGCTGCAGTGCGCTCCACATTACTATACGGGTAAGAAGTCTGACCGCTGCTCGTCGAGGATGTCGAAAATTTCAGTGTTTGACCATTGTTGTCTGCGGAGCATTGTTCGAGTCTGGTGAGAACACTGGATCAGCAATGCTAAAGTACGTCGAATGTTCTGAAGGAGTAACTCACCCATAATAGATAAACTGATCACACCGTTGGCTTGGCCACATGCCCTGCATTCCAGTCGACCGACTTTCTCGAAAGGTTCTTCTCGCACAACCATATGAAGGGTGGAAACGAGCCCGGGAAGTTCAAACAGTGACTTGGCAGCTAAGTCTAGAAGCCATAACCGGTTAAATCAGCTGTGCTGGTCATTGCCATCTTCCCGGATGGAGACCCTGAGACTGGGCGCATCAGTGGTTAGAGACATTGTCAAACAGCCCAATCGCGCCTTCAATAACACCAATGCACCCAAGCTATTGCCTTTAATGCATAGATACCTTCCCGATCTCCCCACTTAGAAGTCTACTGACAACCCTGTGTTTATGCACCGCGTACGCAGGATGGGCCTCGACGTGCCAATGTGAAGTGTGCGTGACTACAGTCAAACTGAACACCGTGGCATCTTCACGAATTCTCTGCTAGGGGTCGGAGTCTGAAAGCCTACCGGACGCGACACGTATGCAATTCCAGTGACGTCCATGGCGTCACTTGTTCTACTGCCGTACTCTGAGCCAACCTCGCGGATGGATTATTCTCCTGCGTGTTGCACAAAAGGTCGTTGGTTTGTTCTCTGGGTCGAGCAATTTGACTGAAAATGTTTCATCAATCGAGGTGACGTTAGTGCATTATTCGGGAGGACAGTGGAGCTTAGCGATGGGTAAGTCATGCGTTGAGTGCATCGGTTGTTGATATACGTGCTGTTGGTCACGGATATGAAAGGAAATCGTTTTTATGAGTGAATTCATCGGAGTATTGCTTTATTCATCCAAGCACCGAAAATTAATTATGACAAGGTTATCAATAATAATAATCGATAATAAATTACATGTGGAGATATGTTGAAGCTAATTGTTGGGACTGCTAGGAACGGATGTCATGCCAAACAGAGCAGCAGATCTCGAAGTCCAAAGAACGAAGGATCAGTGCTTATGTTGTAGCTTCTTCACATACTCCGTTAGACTTTCGGCATATAGTTCGGGTCGTTGTGTCATCTAAGAAAATGAAGCAGTGAAACCGGAAAGTGGGGAATCATGAGTGATCCATAAGCCGAAATACCTATATCAGTAATAAGCTAATCAATCATTCCTAAAACGAAGGATGGTTAAGTTGAAGTATCAGAAAAATTTCAGTACACGTGTGAAACAGATACTGTGGCAGCAGCTAACTGGTTTTGATGTGACTGTGAAAAAGAGTTACTGTTCAGTGCAGTTCAGACATTTAAGGGGATAGTAAACTAATCTTTCAGATAGCTCATGCTTACTTACTGACAAATACTCAAAGGAGCATTATAGAGGCGAGTTTTGCAACCAAATACCAGGTGCTACGCAGCTACGGAGATATGCCATGGGAAGACAAAAACTCATTATTAGACTTTTGCACTCATTTGCAAGTCAATTTTGTATTGATGGGGGACTCACCTGGAACCTAACTGCATCTGTCGTTTATGCTCTTCTTCAAGTAGAACATATGGTTGACGGAAACTCGGTTACTGTGCCTACCTGATGACACTTATGTGACCCTTATCATTCCAGAGGACCGAAATCTGCCAGGACGAGATCCTGGAATTGTGCCGGCAACATACACATAGGTGACCCACTTTTATGTTCAAGGGCTGCATTCAATGCGGATAGCCAGCTCGTTCTTCATTCTCAAGTAGGAGATGCCCCAGAAGTTTGTAGACAAAATGGATCCTTTGCATGCGCACACTTGTGGGCATGGTAAAGTGCACACAAAGCCCTCTAAAGGCTTCCGTGCAAACGGTATTGTTCGACAAAGATGTCCACTTTGTCTGTTCTTGTTCATTCTTATCATTGATGAAATAACATGACGCTTGGGGGTATACAGGACTCCGGTCTTCAAGTCGATATTGACGAAAACTCCATGAACCTCGGTTAATTATGCAGGTGTTGTTAGTTTCATCTTCGAAAATTGGAAGGAATATAAGTGTTTTTTGGTTTGCCAGAGCATTCCTTCTGGCGTATAGCTTGCAAGTGTGATGAGTTCAGCGATCCAGAGAGAAACGTTGGAGGTTGCGGAAGGTTTTACACATCTCGAAAGGTACATAACTGTACGAGGGCAAGGTCGGTGCGCAAATATCGTACACCAGGTTCACGTTTGCAAATTTGTACCACTTGGATATCGAAAAGGTATACTGCTGAGTCTAATAGTAGCTTGTGACTGTGTTTAAGCCTTTCTCGTTTCGTCACCATCCCTGGAGATATCACCGGTTCGTATCCACCTAACTACGCACTAATGTGGTGTGTTTGGCGATTGGGCGCTTAATTTACTTCAGGAATGCATATTGTTGTAAGGGCTGCGATGAATGGGTCGTCTGCTATGCATGCCGAGTTTTCGTCCAAGAAGAGGGGCTTCAGAGCTTCATTCCCCATACCGAACTCGGTGTGGCGTAAACTGATATACGGACAGCTTATGGATAGACAGAAGGAAGTAGTGTTTACGAGGTAGATGGGTGCCATCTACCTTTCAAAGTCGCGGCCGTGTGAAATAGGGTCAGCCCAATTGGTGTTAGCCGAAGTCCGGCATTTGTTTTACCAGTTTCTGCTCAGAGTGGAGAGGGATTCCTCAGTGGTTAGAGAACGAATTTACGGATCACAGGGTCCGTGGTTCGAACACGACCTCTCCTGTCGACTTCCTCTGTCCAGACTTGGGCAAGCTGGCATTATCCCAGCCCTCATGCTTCCTGGTGGCATGGCAGTTAGGCACCGAAAGAGTGCTATAGATGAACGATTTCCGCTCAGATCGTCTGACAGTGCTGGTAAAGACCTCCGGTGAGTTTGTGCTGGACCGGTTATCTCCAATTTCATCCTACATACAAATCAAGTTTCTCCTCAAAGAAATTGATGTGATGGTGGTTGAAAGGTGGTCTTACCGCCATTGTTGATACTAATGGCTGGTCGAACAATACTCTGGGTGTTATCGGCAACTCAGACACACCACGGTAAACACTGCTTGAATGTATTGACTTTTGGTGGAGCGTCTTCACAAGCGAAATGTTCCGTTAAATGGGGATGCGGTAATCAAAAACACTTTGGGCCGGAGAAAGTCCTTAACTCGAGTTCCGGTCGTGTACATATGCGTGGAATATCCGACGACAGAAAACCACAATCCTATGGTACAGATACCAATCTTGAACACTGGTCCTGAAGTCCACATCGATAATGCTTTGATGTGGAAGGTACACATATTCTGCCTTTGATCGTAACTGGGAGCCGACGGGTTAACAAAAGTGAACTTTATAGGTTCATTCCAGGACGGAGGCGTTTTACCGGGTCTTCGTGGGAGCAGGACATTGGACAGACCGACATGTATGTTGGTGATTTGGCAACTCAACAGCTGTTGATGCTATCAGAGGCTGTCCATAGTTTTTAGACCACACGTAGTTGCGTGTAATCAAATGTCATACAAGCCACCAATGGCTATGAAAACCAGAGAGAATAGTGTAGGCAGATCAAACCTTTGGAAAGTTGTTGATGTTGATCAGTCAGCTTGAATATAGTGGCGAAGGTGAGAGGTCCGGACCAGATGATTTCGTCGCATGTAAGTTTCACTTTAATACCACACTAATGGAACCCGACCATTAACGAACTGTTGAGGTGGTAGATAGAATGACAATATTCCAGCGGGCATAAGGTCATTGATACCGTCACCACGTCCACGCATGAAGTCTAACAATAAGAATTTCATAACTTTGAATAACTTTGATTTAATTATCAGCAGAGTGGTTTAATAGATGTGTTAGCCATCACTAGTGTGATATCTGAAAGTACGGCTGTTCGAAGAAAGCTTCACCTGTCTAAATTACAACTTATATGCACGATGAGCCATTCTCAGACAGAACCACTTGAGAAAGAAATGTTCATTCGAGAGAGGGATTTTCGTCGGTTTGTGGTCCTTAACTACGGAATCTCATTCAGAATGTCTTCCACAGTGGAAAGCTTGATCCTAAACCAACTCACGTTGGTGGTGGTTCCTTTAGATTACCTTCGTTACAGAAATGACTTTAACCTGACCAATATCAAATGATTGAACTACAACAGCTTAATGGCTCAACTGAACAAATATTCGTGACATGACGGTAAGCCCTACAGTGGTTTTCAATCACTTGAGGATAATTCCATCTAGTTTTGTCGGGTCTGACTGACAGTCATTTTTGCCAGTAACTGAGCTCTGCTGGTGAAGACACCTTTTGTTCCCAAAATCTCAGGTAGTAACATAATGAAAAACCTACCTCATGTCATCCAACTCTACTGCTGAGCGAACAACTGTAGCGTTAATCGTGTTAACTTTTGGTGAATTCTATTCACACGAAGAGGCCGCATTGGCCAAGTAACTGACACTGATGACTAGTCAAGTCTTTTTTTACTTCCATGCACGTTTGTGATCCCAACAGCAGTGCATAAGTCTACACAGTTCATACAAATTATCCAGCCTGGTTTGCACATTACAGATGCGAGTCGAAGAACGCAAAAATAAAGATTCACTGAACAGATTTCACTTGGAAATTCACTACTGCAACAGTGGTGAATGCCATTTAAGGTTCGCGAATGTTTGCATTCGAATTGATTTATTGATTGAATTTGAGACGAAGCAACTAAACCAAGTTTGACACCATTCGGAAATGGCTGAATAATGAAGCTAAACACAGCGTACATTGGTGAACACTTCAAACTGGTCGAATCATGGTACATATCGAGCACGTTGGCTATGAAATTAAATCCTCTTGCATGCTTGAGGAGGCCACTTTGGTCAGTCTATTCAGGAGAAAGTGTTGTATACGTTCACTCACTAGACAGTCCTCGATGAGAAAAGTCAGTTCTTTTGGGCCTTTGAATCGAAACTATCTGTCTTTAGGATTTTTCCGGTAACCGTCCCAAATTAGCTGGCGCCCTGAAAAGCAGGCGGCCCTAAACTGTTCGAATTACATTGAGGAGCGTTGGTTAGTCGGCACGCAACAACTTTGATGTGTTATATAATTTGCTGCAACAACCGGATAGGGATGGTGTTTTCCAAGGACAAATTACTTGATAAAAACAATGTGTGGGTATTAGAATATCCATAGGTATACATCGTAAAATTCCAAACATGTAGCTTCAAAAACAGCTGCGCAAAAAAACCTACCTATCAATGAGTGCATGATACATGGAAGGAGGCAATTCTTGAGAAATTTGTTTCTGGCCTTCCATTTATGGATTCCATGGGAACAAGAAGAATCATCATAACGGGGTAGATTTAGCTCAGCTATTTCGCTCATCTCACCAGCTGTCGAAATGCAACCAGAATCAGGTCGGGAAAGGATAACGGGAAGATAATTTGAAGAAGGAATACACAGGTCAGTGAAAACATTACAGCGTGCAAAGGTCATCAGACCCCGGAACGGGTTGAATAGAAGTACTAGGACTGTAGGCCGCAAATTCCAGCTACTTACGCAAGTCGTATTTGTGGCAATGGATAGCCGCAGCTTCAGCAAATTGCTCTTCTGACAGTTTCTGGGCATGTCAAGTTACGTCAGTCTATACAGAAGTTGCACATTTATGCTCGTGTTAATGATACGTTCGTTGTACTGAACAGCAATTTACATCCCAACAGATGGTGCAGTGTTTAAATCAACGTCACGCAGATATTGAATTGATGTTTGAACACTAAGAGGTGGGTCGTTGCACTCGAATGTCCAGATGGTGAATCAGTCTTCGGACCAACATTCCAGAAGCCAAACTGGACAGGAAAATATCTAAACTTCAAGTGTCTTGTTCGAATAAAGTGTAAGCGAACTTGGGTACAAGGTTTTTTTTCGCAAGAGCCTGAAAGACTTACTCAAATGAGATATTAGAAAGGGACGTGAAGACCATTCAAGTCACAATACAAGGAAACGGCTGTCCCAGTTTGAAGGGATCGTAATGATGGACGTAGGTGGCGGCGACTTAGCCAAAATCTCACAAAGTATTCAAACGTGCGACTTTAGCAGTACTCAACA